GAGAGAGAGAGAGAGAGAGTTTGCACGGGTCAGGTGCCTCGACGATGAATGCAGCACTTGTCATGTTTGTTTTTGCGAGCGAAGCTGCAACAAGTCATGGAGTGAGGTTTCGCACCTGTTTGCAGTTTAAAGCACAGAACTGTGTGCACTCTTCTGTTTGTGGCTCGGTCCTTGATACAATCACAGCTTTAGTTTACACGATTATTTAGACCATTTTCTAGAATGGTATAAGGATATGTGATTGTCTTTTTGAAATTCCAGAAAAGAACACCCTTTTTCCTCAATATCGTTCTGTCCCTGTTGGTGCGGCTTTTGTTGGGGCGATTTCTTCTGTCTAATTTTTGTCATGTTCTCCTTCGGTCTCTCTTGTTTGTTCGTGTTGTTTTTTGCAGCGTTCTTTGTCCTGCCATGTCACTGTATCTGTCGTGGTTATTTCACCTCGTGTCCGTGTATGCTATTGTTCCATCGGTGCATTTTGCTTGAACATCTCTTACGTGGCCTTGTGTGGGGATGATCTGCCCGGAATCACTTTTGGCCTCTGCATGGCTGGTTGCTTTTTTTTGTCTTAACAACTATATGTTTACGTACACCTACTTTGCAGGTGTGGCACCTGGTGTCGGAGTGATGGATGGGCAAGGTGCACACGTCCAAGCAGGCAATATGGATTACATGGCTGGTATGATGGGTGCACCTGGCTCTGCTGCAGCGGCTGCAGCAGCTGCACATGCACAAGCTTTGCATGGCCATTATATGGCCAATGCTCGAGCTGTTGGCAGCTTGTATCCAGCATGGCGCATGGCTCCTCAAAACTGGTTGGTAGCACCACTATGACATTGAACTCCATGCCAGTCTGTTGTTTTGTTATGTGCACGCTGGGATCTTGTCCCCTTGTACTTTAGATTGGCCCGCTTGTTCCAGAGAAAAGCTAAATCATGGAAAATGTATTTAGATTCTGCAAAGTTCCTATTGATTGGGATATGTGAATGTTGTACCGCTCACTGCTATATAATCTCCGCTATCTTTTGCGAAGGTGGTCTATTGTGGCTTGACCGTGTTGTTGTGGAGCTGAGAGAAACCGGTCATTGTTGGGCTTCTCTTTTTTTTCTTCTTATTCGTTTCTATTCATGGACATCCAGTGTTGTTCTCCCTGCTGCGTTGTACCAGAGACCTAAGGCTATGACTCTTCACAGTGCGAGGAAGGGGTAAAAGGCTTGTTTGTGCACGTCATTCTTGGTCGGGGTCTCATCTTCTTGCTATCATGCTAATTTCTATTCATGGACATCCGGTGTTGTTCTTCCTGCTGAGTGGTACTAGAGACCTAAGGCTACAGCTCTTCACAGCGCAAAAAAGGGATAAAAAGGCTTGTCTTCTTTTTCTTGTAGGACTTCCTCCCCCTCCGTTTCTGGGTTTGGCTGTGATGTGATCTTTCTGAGAAATTCTATCTCCAGCTTAAGTGAAAGAATCCCAACTGCATGCATCCTGTATGTGTTGACATGGCTGCTGTTATGGGAATGATTGTTATTGAAATGCCATATACATATCGTCATAGAGAGCTGCCTGTTGAACCATAAGCAGAGAGGGAGAAGAGCACAGCAAACGAGGGGCTGTGACAGACTGTTTCATCGGAGTTTCACCGGCTCATCAGGAGGCTGAATCCTTTATAGCCTGCAAAGCCCCTTACCAATGATACTATAAGCGTTAATGCACCCTAACCCCAGTTGTGATAAAAGACTGCCTGCAAGGGCCTAATTCTATCCATCTCCAGCTTAAGTGAAAGAGTCACAGAAAGAATCCGCAGGGCATGCATCCTGACTGTGTTCACATAGCTGTTGTTGGTGGAATGATTGTTGTTGGAACATTACATACTAGAACAGTATGTGGCTGTAGGTGGGGAAGATCAGCATCAAGCTGAAGGGCGATTGCAAGGAAGTCTGACATCGTATAAAATGGGTGGTGAAGACAAATATTAGTCGCAGTCAGACCACAGAGATTGGCGGGATCTCAAGCTGGTGTGCCAGCCGAGTGTAACAGTGTGTGCAAAGGAGAAGGTGGCAGAGTGTTGGTACATCGTCCTGCCGCAGCACGTGGCCAGAGGAATAATCTTTGACATAAAAGCGATTGTGGATGTTTTGGTGCGGAAAGAAAACAGCATCATTATGTAAAAAATTCTTCAGTAACATCAGTCATGTCATGGACCATGCTGCAACTCTTTTATGTCGAAGATCATTCCTCTGGCCCCGTGCTGCAGCAGTAGGACAGAGTACCGACACTCTGCAACCTTCTCCGTCGCACAACTACAAACACTGTTACACTTGGCTGCAGCCGCGATCGTCCCTGTCGCAATCACTACAATCACATGGTTTTTGTATCCTTGTGTGCAGAAGAGCGACTCTCCGTTCCTGATTGCAGGCACCTTCCGCATCAGGACACTATATATCCATTTTGCGGCCATGAGCGCGATACTGAATGCATGGTCTTTTGTGGTGAATGATTCTTCACATGCGGCAATGACCCCCCTTAATCTACCCCTGCACTGTGTGCCACAGACTTAGCTGCGCTTGTATATTGCCATAGAGAACTGCACGGTGAACTGTAGGCAGAGAGGGAGAAGATTACAACAAAGAGGGGCTGTGACAGACTGGTTCGCTAGAGTTCCCGCTGACTCATCAGGAGGCTGAACCCTCTACAGTCTGCAGAGTCCCCTACTCGATGAGACTGTAAGTGATGATCCACCTTAAACCCAGTTTCAGTTAGGCATCAACGACTACCTGTCAACTGATACCCTGAGATGGGCACCAACCACTGCCCTCAAGGTGCCTGTGATGAAACTCAGAACAAACTAGCGGTCACCCTCACCGGACGGGGAACTCTACAGACTGCAGGTCCATGCCCCATCATAAACCGTAGCTACCATAGACGTGTATATGGCCTTAGAATTTTTGCCCACCTCTAGTTAGAGCAGTTTTGATCAAGTGGAGAGTGAAACAAGAAGGGGCATGAAACCACCACTGGTTATGAAGCCTATCTTGTGGAGGCGAATTTCTGTCTCACCATGTGCTGCATATTGGTGCATGTATGCGTTTTAAGTCTGATTGTTGCCCATTGCTTGACCCTGAACGTGCTGAGCCTTGGGTGCAGTTTTTGTTTTGCAATGGGTTTGTGCCTATCGTGGTTGCGATCCAACAGCAGGGGGTGGCAGGTGCATTGTTTGTTTGAGCTGGCCTCTGCCTCCTCCTTGCGGATGCTAGGCTTCCTTGCATTCCCTACCTATGGTGCTGCAATTCAGGGATGGGCATGGTGAGGCCGTGGCGGCTTAATGTTATCTCCACTTATGTGCCAGTGGATAATTCTACATGTGATGGGACATGATGTGATTGAATGCTCTGAGCTGGGGATTTCCTTTCTTTTGCAGGTACTGGGCAACGCCATGGTATGCTCCAGCACAGTATGTCCCCCAAGTAATGCCAGGCATGATCAGACCGCCATTCCCACCAAGCACTGGGGATGGCTCTGGCATGGAGCAGCTGAGGAACGATACGAGAGGAATAACCATGCCGAACCCCTTGGCTGGGGGAGTGGTCCCTGGTGCTGACGCCGCATGGCCTTATGGGCTATGGGTTGATCAATGGGTGAACAGTGGTGAAAATGAGGCTCAGAGAGAAGCAAGAATGAATGTGCGCATGCAGTGGGAGCTTCAGTGGCGGCTGATGGTCGGTGCTTTCCAAGCTCAGGCACACTTTGCATCGATGGGCGTGTGGCCGTGGATGATGCCAACTCTGGGGTTGTGGGGCTCGGGGGGGGCTGCAGCCGGCCAAGGTAGTTTTGTTCCAGCAGTGACAGGGGTTGGGATGCCCAGCAGTGATACTACCAGCACGGAAAGGGGAGGAGAGGGAGATGGAGCGGGTCAGGTGGCAGCAGAAAGCAGTGAGCGATCGTCCCAGGTGCCTGTTACCTCGGGCACGCCTTCTTCACAACCTTCGCCATCTGTTTCAGTCACTGCCAGCAGCCCTTCTGCCTCTGGTGGAGAAGCGCAGAACAACCAGGCAAGGCCAGGCACGGGTGCAACTGAACAAGGTTCTCCTGTCACAACATCAGAATTGCAGAGGCAACATGAGGAGGTATGACCAGAGTATGTACCAAGCTTGAAATCACCTCCGTCATCTTTTCTTCCATACAAATTGATGCATAAAGTGTGATTCAAAAGGTGCTCTAATCAAAATAGGCTGTTGTTGCCACGTTGGAGAGATGATGGGGCTTCACGCAGGCGTCAATGTGGGGTGTGTGGAGGCTACTGGGATGAGTCTCGGACTGCAGATCCTTGAGATGAAATCCAGCCCAGTGCACCTGGGCGGAAGGGAGAAGATCGTAAGCCCAGTGCCCAGCGGCTGGGGAAAGGATGATTGCAAAAGGTCTTGATGGTAATCAGACCCCCTCTACTTAGAAATTCCACGCGAGAGTACGCAGAGCAAATCAGAAACACCGCGCGAGAGCAAGTAGAACAAATCAGAAATCCCTTGAGAGAGCAAATAGAGCAAATCAGAATTGCGTCGTGAGAGCAAATAGAGCAAATCAGAAACGCCGCACGAGAACGCGCAAGAATGAGAAAAACGAAACAACGAAAACAAAACAGACCTCTCGACCCTGTGGCCCTTTCCCTGGAAACGCCACGCGATAAGGAATCAAAAACGCCGTGCGCTAATGAATCAGAAACACCATGGGAAAAACTGACAAAACAGACCTGTACACGACTGCGAGGATGTGGAGCGGCCACGCTACCCCCCCCCCAAAAAAAAAAAAAAAAAAAAAAGCAAAGCGGATTCCCCCTACCGGCCTCTCTCAGTCCTGAAGGGCATTTGGCCCATACCAGCCGTTTCCCAACACCACCAGCCGGTCTCGCGTGGGACCATAACGCAAGGCCCACTAAAGAGTGCAAGCGGATGCCCGTAGCCGTGGCACAGACCTCCTCCTCCATCAGGCGGGCTAGGCGGTGGCATGCAGGGTGGGTCGCAGCATGCGGACTGAGCAGCACAAACACACAGCATGAAACACACCCACAAACAAGTCGGCGCTCAAAAAAAGCACACCCAGGCATAACCGCGCCCTCGGCACAGGCACACTACTATGTGGGGCCGGCGGAACTACAACACACGGGGTGGGACAGGACGCACACAGCACTATGTGCGGCTGGGTCAGGCAGCACTATGCTAGGAGGGTCACACTATGTGGACTGGGCAGCATCATGAGAAACAATGTGACCTGGTTGATACGAAACGTTTCCACCCCAAAAAAAAAGCAAAAGCAGAGCGGATTCCCCCTACCGGCCTCTCTCAGTCCTGAAGGGCATTTGGCCCATACCAGCCGCTTCCCCACCACCAGCTGGTCTCGCGTGGGACCGTAACGCAAGACCCACTAAAGCGTGCAAGCGGATGCCCGTAGCCGCGGCACAGACCTCCTCCTCCATCAGGCGGGCTAGGCGGTGGCATGCGGACTGAGCAGCACAAACACACAGCACAAAACACACCCACACACAAGTCGACGCGCAAAAAAAGCACACCCAGGCATAACCGCGCCCTCAGCACAGGCACGCTACTACGTGGGGCCGGTGGAACTACAACACACGGGGTGGGACACGACGCAGACAACGCTATGTGCGGCTGGGTCAGGCAGCACTATGCCAGGAGGGTCACACTATGTGGACTGGGCAGCACCATGCGAAACAATGTGACCTGGTTGATACGAAACCTTCCCGTCCAGATTGGCGGAAAAGGGCATTGAAGTCTCCCATCCAGATTGGCATGCAGTGCATCATAATCTTCCCATTTCCATCCAAATCGGTGTGCCATGCACGTGCAGGCTGTTTAGCCCGTCGTACGGGGTCGGGTCGTACAGACTTCCGTACGACCATCCATATGAGCCGTACGTACGGCCTTTGGCGCCCCTGTTGTGGCCTTCTGGGGGGGGGTGGCGGGAAAGTAAAGGCCTTGGGGGGGTGTGGGAGTTGGGGGGTAATCCCCCCAATTGAAAAAAAAAAGTTTTTTTTTTTTTTTGGGKGGGGGTTGGTCAAGGAAAGCAAAAAGCAGATTGATTTGTTTTGTTTGTTTGATTGATTGATTGATTGTTTTTTGATTGATCGATTGGTTGGTTCGACTTGATTGATTAATTGATTGATCCAAAGCGCTTGTCAGCACAGATGTGTGTGTGCGCGCCCTCCCTCTTTTTCTCTCTCTCTCTGCGCGTGCACGAGAGAGAGAGAGAGAGAGAGAGAGAGAGAGAGAGAGAGAGAGAGAGAGAGAGAGAGAGAGAGAGAGAGAGAGAGAGAGAGAGAGAGAGACTCGCTACACTACACAGCATTGTGGACATGTTCGGAGGCCTAATAGTGTCCATACATTCGAACTGCTGGATATATTCGGATGTACCTGGGCAATGGAATGGTGGAGATGGATACAGAACGTTTCATATGGGATTGTAATAGTATCTATACACTGAAATCTTGGATACATTAGAGAACCTGGGCGACAAAACGGTCCAGATGCATGTCGAACTTTGTGTATGCAGGAGAGAGAGAGAGAGAGAGAGAGAGAGAGAGAGAGAGAGAGAGAGAGAGAGAGAGAGAGATTGTGCCGCTGCCCCTCCCCATCGCCCCCAGCGCCTAATGGTTTCAGGCCGCCTTGCGCATTGTGTGTGCGTGACATCAGGACTATTGGTGTTTGAGCACTGTGGAGTAGTAGTTTGCAAAATTTGAGCGTCACCGTCCTCAGTGTGAGTGTGTGTGCGTGTGCGCGCAATCTATTAATCAATAAATCCATCGGTCCATCCATCCATCAATCAATCAATCATCTTTTTTTTTTCATTTTTCATATTTTCACCAAAAAAAACTTCTTTTTTGCTAAATGCAGGGGGGGTCCCTGGCACCCCTGGTACCCCCCCCAGGGGGTCAATTCCCCCTCAGCACCCACCCTGTGGCTTGGGGCACATCTGTACGGGGCCAGTACGTACGGCCGTTGGACCGGCCGTCCAGACGGGCCGTACGACGACCCCCTTCACGAGGTATGGGGGACTTCACTGCTTGCAGGGTCTCAAGGCTGGAACAATCACTGGTCGTCTTTCCATTCGAGCCTGGAGGGGTGAATACAGGGGTCTTCTTGCCTCCCTCCAGGGAGTGCTGTTATGTACTTCGAACATGCATTTGAACTTTGGGCATGTATTTCGAGGACTCGTCACTGTAGCGACAGGTTGGAACCTCGTCCGCAAAAAGAACACCTACAAACCTGCCTCACTCCGCTACTCACCAAATTTGCGAAATGAGAATGAATGTTCCGCTAGAACATGGCAAGGTACATGCAAAATGAGAACGAATGCCCGGCTAGAACATGGCAGGGTACACCACCTAGAACGCCCACAAATGAAGGTCCTGGCTCCACGAACCACCAAATGTGCAAAATGAGAACGAATGTTCCGCTAGAATATGGCAAGGTACACTGCCTAGAACGCCCACAAATGAAGGGTCTGACTCCACTAACCACCAAATGTGCAAAATGAGAACGAATGTTCCGCTAGAACATGGCAAGGTACACCGCTGAGAGAACACCCACAAATGAAGGGCCTCGCTCCACTATGCATCAAAACGACATGTGCGAGAGGCGAATGTATCTGGATCGATCTTTGAGCCCCTGTATGTCAGATTGTGAGTTTAGCGACTGACAGGTACGAACCGACCCTGAAAAGACAAAGACAAAAAAATGAAAAGACGCTTTGAACGATCGCGGGTGTTCCTTCCACGCGGCTGCCATGGGCTTGTGTCTGGATTTTTTTTTTTTCTTTTTTTTTACTACGGCATATTATCTCTAGAATACTTTCAAGCATCACTCTGCATTTGAACATTTTGTCGCTGGAAAATGACATAAGAAAAAACGCCCCAAAGGAGGATGCAGCTCGCGCACAACAAAGCAGCACAAACTTCACAAAGAGAAATCTTGAGACGCCACAATACAATGCCTTTTCCCTGTGCATTTGCTGCTATGTGCCTCTATTCGAACATGCGAACCGCTGCTCCCAAGGGCTGCGTTTCCCGCCGGTACTGCCTCCCCCCCTGAATTTTCGTGGGTCCATTTTGTTTTTGTGTCGGGTACACCACGTAGCCTCATGATGACTGTATCGAACCTGAAAAGTGGCTCCTATACATTCACCGAGGGTGGCAGCCACTCTGCGAATTGTGGAGTCCATGAAGTGGCCGTTACATCTCTGTGGATGTATACAAGCAACGTTTCAGCTTGGAAACAGTCGTGATGAGGGCCTGTGCTGTGTGCCGCTCTTTCGTTGTTTCTTTGTTAAGTGCGTGCTGTTCTTTCTTCATGGACGGGGGTTTTGTCTCTCTACCCTACTCTCTCCCCCTGCTCTTTTATCTCTATCACACACAAACACAGAACGAAAGCAACCTGCACTTGTGCGCATGCACGAGATGCAGTTCTGTGCAGCCTAGCGCACTGCGGGTGTGCCGTGTGCGCTTCCCTCAGCATCCGCACACTGCGCTCTGGGCGCCGCACTGCTCAGGTGCACCACAAGCATGATACAACATGATACGATTGGACCAATTTTTTCCTTGTGTCGTAGAAATTCCTATACACCAATGTCAACATGTCAGAACGTGCACGGGTGCGGATCAGGCAACATGGTGATGACTCACGAGTGTGGCACACAGATTGTTTCATGTCTGCGTCATGCAGGGTTGTGATTTGTCCGATCCCATACGCATGAGCTACAGCAGCATGTGAACCATAGCAATGGTGGGTGCACGGTCTGCAGAGCTGCTTTGTGTATCTACGGTTTGCCCGATTGTCTGTGTGGATGTAACAGACATGCAAGCAAGTTGGGTTCCTTCTGTCTTGGTGCTTGCTCAGGCTACTATCGTTTGAAGATGAAGGGGGGTGGTGAATACTAGATTTTGTCATGGCCTGTCATGCGCTTGTGAAAGCTCAGAAAGTTTCTATGAACGGGGCTCGGTCAATGACGTTTGTATGACTCGCCTGTTTCTCGTCGTTCTTGGTTTCCCTAAGCAGCAGCTTCAGATGTGGATGGGCAATCTGGCACGTATGCAGTCACGTCTTCCCTTCCCAATGATGGGGATGTGGCTACAGCCTGATGCAATGCCCAGGGGATCACCAGCAGCGCCTAATGGAAGTGCATTCAGCGGGTCTGCGACAATGCGCACCAATCCTGCCGACAACCGTGAGGAACAACAACCAAGTGGGTCAGACGGCAGTGCGTTAGATGGACAAAGAGGCTCCAGTGACAGGAATAGCACGCAGAGTGGAAAAGATCCAGCAGCCACAGACTCAGTGTCTGATACATCCAGAGAGAACCCACAGGCGGCCGATGCTAGAGGGGCAATGCAGTTTACACAGAATACTGGCGATGGGGTCGTAGCTGAGAATTCAGCAGCTGAAGACAACGGGCATGCTCGCTTGGGAACACGTGTGGCTGAAGGTCACATTACTGACCTGAATGGAGGGATTGTACCTGACAAGGAGGAGGACGATGCAACAACAGGACTGAGGCGACGTGTACGCCAAGAGGGAATCTCTCAAAGTGAGAAATCGATTCCTGATTCGGAGATTGTGCAATCGATGAATACGGTGAAGGAGTGATTGCACGAGACTGCCATCGATTGTGTGTACTCTACAGATGCAAAGCACACGAGTCTACACCATTGTATGGGGAACATTCAGCAGGTCTTCCTCGATGTTCAGTCTCGGACTGAAGAGGATGAAACCTGGTGAGTGCATTTGCCTCTGTCACAAATAGTGTGCTGTTTACCTTGCAGTCTAATCAGGTCCTTAACATTACCCTGTGGAGGTAGTCCTTGATTACTGGCCTTTCCATCTATCAGGTGATCGTGGCAATCTGGCTTGCCTGTGCCTGGGAGATAGTACCAGTTTGCTTTTTGTGGTTGGCAATGGGCGGCATTGTGGTTCTGTGCTTTGCTGCTGTTTGTGTGTCTCAGATTCAGAGGAAACTCATCGACGAAGCGCCCCAGCAGGCGCGCCACATAGACACGAGCTTGTAGGGCAGAACACAGTGGAAAGGCATGGGTATGTGGGGAGAAAGGCATGTTCATCTAACAGTGGCGGGATGTGCCGGCAAAAGAAGGCACCTGGTTGGTTGCAGGGCTTCAAGGTATGTTGAGCTCTCTTCTGGTTGCCTCTGAAAGGGTGTGTTGACGAAAGTGGTCGGAGAGATTCTCCCCGGTGGAAAGGTTTTTGGATTTGTAAAGTATAAGATTGAGGAGGGGGCTGATGGAATGATTGACCCTCTTAAACCACCAGTACCAGTACTTGGCCCATATATCGGCCGCGGGCCCTTGTCATTCATATACGCGCCGCAATTTTCGGGCCCTTCGCAGCCTATGCTCATGTTCATCAACAGCCGGTGCCAGTTCATGTTTCGGCGCGCAGGGCATCCCCAGGGACGGAGGAGAAAAGTGCCTTGGAAGTACTGGTGGTTTAAGTGGGCTGGTCATCAGAGAGGCGATCGTGGTGAAAGCCAGACAAGACCCCATTCCGATGAAATTGAGGGGTTGGGAACCACAGGCGGGACTGCAGAGCTCGTTGTGTGTGATGCGGACCAAACGATGCATACATCATCACTGGTTTGTGAACATGTATAATCAAAGCCATATTGATTGGTCTCTGCGGCATGGATGGGAATGCGTTTCGAAGTGTGAATTAATTTGCTGAAATGGAGTGGCTGCTGCTGGTTTTTGTGTTGTGCCTGCCGCTTGGTTACCCGTAAGTACTTATCATCTGACTCTTCACGAAAGAGCCCGTCTGGTGTCTGGCAAGAGCATATGCACGGATGGAATGATGGTGTCGTCGGGCGGCCAAAGTCGGTCGGCCTCCTCACAGCGTGTTTGCTGCTGCTGGGCACACAACCAATACGTTGCTTGGTCGCTTTGGCACACGTCCTCGTTTTGTGAAGAAAATGACCCTCACCCCACCCTTCTTCTCCCAAACAACGCGTGACAGATTCCCATCATGCAGCTTACCCCCCTGACACCTGTCAGGTTCATTCTTGTGGGGACCACAATTTGTTGGCTGGGGTAAGTTTGCAACTTTGCACCAACTTTGCAGGGCAAATGAAGAAAACCAGACTTCATTCGCAAGGCAAATGAAGGAAACCAGACTTTGACGGGTGCTTGATATGCTTTACCAGACTTCTGGATGGCCACAAAGGGGGTGATCCCTCTTCCGCTGACTGCCCAAGAAGAAAACCAAAGGAGTCCGCGGCTGGCCCTTGCTGCTAATTCTTCACTTTGTCTTGGTGCCTTGCTTTGTATGGAACTAGAACACGGGAACGCAGGCAGGTGCGTGGTTTCATCTTGAGCCGTCTGTTTTGACGGCGCTGTCGCATGCAGGTCAATTGCGTTGGTTGCACGACTCCTCCAAGATGGAGGTATGGCTATATGGTTTAGTGCTATATGGACCCAGCTGAAGCTAGTTATAAGGTCTTGACTATTTAGATGATTCTCCGCTAAATCTTCATGGTCGGCATGCATGCTTGTAGCTGCGGCAAGCTTCCGGTATATTATTATTGAGGGATGACGCACGCAGAGGGCCGCATTTAGGTCAGCATCAGCATCAGCATCAGCATCAGCATCTAGCATTTTGCTGCTCCAGTGAGTGACGGTTATATGCTTGCACGTGGGGTATTCTCAGCATACGATTGCAGCTGTGGTCTCCAATGTCATGGCTCTCCTATGACACAGCAGCAATTTCGGTCTTTGCTTGTGGCGATGCCTGTCCTAGTAGCTCTATAGCAAACGGAGCTCTTGGTGAATAGGCTGCTCAAGCACATGCCTTTCCTGGCTGCCAGTACTGTACTGAACATGACATGGATCGCACGGTGAGGACATGGATGGGTGGGTTAGTGAATTTTGTCGTTTTTGTAACGTGCTCCTGTTCCTGTTTAATTCATGGACACGCAGGAGGACGCTGCTGCTCCGGGCATATTGCTGTTCTTCCTTCCTAAGGCGAGGAACAGCGGTGTGCTACGTGGAAACGCATTCGTTCTAGATGTTTCTGTTCTTGTTCCTACTGCAAGCAACAATGTGGCGGTACTTGGGAACGAGTCTGCCTGCTGTTCTGCGTGAGCAGCATCTACACTGCACTGGGCATTCGAAGGGACAGTGCCCAAGTGTCTATGGGAACGAGCTGGTGAGCAAGCAGCTTGTTTGTGACTGCCTGGTGGACCAACTTCACCACAACTTCTCTGCCTTCTCTGAGGTGGGCGATGCCCTAGACGTGATATCCTTTTTAAACCGCCCGTCCACAACTTTTCCCAGGCACCTTGTCTGGTGTGCCTGTTGACGCAGCGCAGAAATGCTGTTTGCATCTGCCGGAGAGAAAAGTGTGGCAGCCTGTGGCAAGTTGGTGTCTGTGACGGTTTGCATTGTCATTTTGGCTGGGCTGCACATCACATTGGGAAAAGGGGCCTCCGATCGATGGACTGGTGGTTTTAAGGTTGGGCCTTCCGACATTTCGAATCATTGTAGCTGTGGTTGTGAAGTATATGTATAGAGGAGGCGGTCAAGAAGGTACTTTCGTGCTAAGGACTGGAGTCACTGGACCGGTTGCTGTGCCAGTGCACCTTGGGGGTCGTTGCTGCGTACAGCTGGTTGTCTGAAAAGGTAAATGCCATATGCGTGTCAGCGAAAGTGACACTAGTGCCTTACCGTGTCACTGACTCGATATCTCTTGCCATCCAATATGTCACAATGATATGGACTACGGCTCTGCCTTCTCTTGCTCCCCTCCCCTTCACGCC